TGTTCTGTATCTATGTCCTGAGGGGAGGGGGGTGAGGTGTGTGTTCAGTGGGTGTGTTATGTCCTGTTCTGTTATTTTTGCAATTGGTGTAATGGCCCCGTTGTTTAATTCTGTGAGGTTTGGTGTGGGAAGACCGATTATTTTGGAGGCCGTGGTGGTTATAGCGTATGAGCATGTCGCTGTTGTGTGTGCCAGTGATGAAGCAGCTGATTGTTTAAAAACTAAACTCAGATGCTCCTTATGCTGAAGAGTGCACTTGCAGGCAGGAAGACACCGACCGAGCCAGTGAAGAAGAAAAAGTACAACATTCAATCACAGTGACCAACCGACTACTAGGGCCGCAAAATTCAATTTAAACCGACCACAATGACTGGAAAAGTCAAGATTTTGACCTCCCACAATTGAATTGACGTGACTGATTGTAGTGTTGACATTTAAAATGTGTTCCTCACATAGAAAACTTTGCACAAAGAAAACAACCCATGTAGATGAAAGCACTTGGTTTCCAACTGGATAAATCTGACACTAAAACACCTTGTTTCACTCATTTTAAAGACAGGTCTGGTCACACACCTGTCTGAGTGAACTGCAGCCATCGAGTAGCCATAGCCTGCATGTGAGGCGTTTAGGGAATGACCGGTAACTGTAGTGTCTATCGATAAGCAGATATTCAGCAAACGAGAAGTGTAGATATCAAACCACCTCCAGGAAAAGTCTGGTGACACAAAGATACTGTTTAAAATATTTAAACAACACAGACTCCTGCAAACTGCTTACATGCATGATAAATTTATTAATGCAAAGATTTGGTCCTAGACCTTCATCAGGCAAAATTTTGCCTTGTTTGATTTTTTATTTTTTTTTGCCCTTGTTTCCTTGTGTTTTAAATACTTTGCAAATATGAAGTCTGAACTCACTATCAGTCACTGCATCAGTGCAAAACTAGAATATGCAAAGGCAATTATTCATTAGCATGCAAGGTTGATTAATACCACGCTGTGCTGACTAACTTTAGATATGATCTTTTTTCATTATTATACTGTAATTTTATTTTTAATTATCTATCTATCTATCTATCTATCTATCTATCTATCTATCTATCTATTTCCTCCACAACTTACTCCAAAAACCCCCCAAGCCCCTCTCCCTTAAACGAGATTTAGCATTCATGTATGTGCTTGTTACCTCCCCTAAATCTAACCAAGGCCCCCAAAGAAACCCACAAAATATGAGATGCCACAAGGATGGAGCAGCTCAAAGCAACTTTAACGATACAAAACTGAGTACATACAAAACACTGAAAAACAGAAAGACTGCCCAAACACACAAACAAAAGAAAAGAGAAGACCTTAACCACGTCTTTGAAATCACCTTCAAGGAGCCTTTGATGGCAAAGGTAAATGTATAGCCATTTACTTGCTGAATAATTATCACTTCAAGTTTTTTTTTTCACGACTGGATTAGCCTGTAAATCTAACTAAAGGCTCCGTGGCTCAAGATGTTTCTTCCCACTGATCTTCATGATAATCCGTTGTGTTGTTTTTTTGAGAGATCTCGTATCCAGACAATCAAAAACAATTTTTTTTAAAAGAAATAATCAATTAAGCCATTCTAGTTGTTGAATTTACAGTATCTCAGTGTTGCGGGGCGCCCTTTGACCCACTGCTCAGAGAGACGGCAGAGAGCAGGCAGACTCAGCTGTTCGCAAAGTGGGTCAGAGCAGCTGGCATGATCGCATGAATATTTAAAATGAAACAGCCCCAGACTGAAGCCGCTGTAACAATCACGTCGATGCCAAGCAGTGTTAAACAATGACAGCATGTTGTACAGCTCCAACTGAGCAGCTACCGCATATTTCTGCCTACCCAGAGAGGAGGACGAGGAGGAGGAGGAGGGAAGCTGTCCAGAGAGGAAGAGAAATGTTGAAAGAAAAAAAATGTGGAGTACAAAAGGAAGAGAAGGAGGTTTGGTCAGTTTGAAGGGTGGCAGTACTTTCAGATTCACGCATCTATGGCCATACAGGAGGGATGTAATGAGAAGGAAGGTTGAGAGAGAACAAAGGAAGCACCTTGAACGTCTCTGTGTATTATTTGCTGTATAATATGTGTGTACGTAATCCTACAGTACCTCAGTTATCTAACGAGAAACGCATAAGAGAGAACACCGGTGGATGACAGATAGATCAGCAGAGGCCAAGAGATGAAGAATGGAAACAAACTTTGTAATTAACTCCGCACAGAGCGCTGACAGGCGGAGAGCCAGACGGACTGACAGGTACGAAAGAAAAAAAAAAAGAAGAAAAAACAAAGAAAGAATGAGAGCCGGGGAGGGAGAGACATGACTGGAGGATGGATAGAAGTAGGTCAGGAGGAGAGACTGAGAGGAGGAAAAGGGAGATGAAAGAAAGAAGGAAATAAAGGAACGCGACAGCCAACGTTGGGCTGTGTCTTTTATACCTTACTATCTTTTCGCTTGTCTGTGTGTGTGTGTGTGTAGGTGTGTGTGTGTGTGTGTGTGTCTCTGTCTCTTTTCGGGTTGTGCGCGTGCAGCTTCACATTCGGGGGAGTGTTCGTGCATGTCGCCATGATTGACAGCTCCTAGCCGGCAGCCCGCTCCAAAGCCAAAGACTTCATAATAAACAGAATATGGTTTAATTTACTCCTCCAGGCAGAGAGGCGCTGCTCACTTTGCTGTCTATTCATAAACAGGGACACACTCGTGCGCTAGTACAACGCGCTGCAAAAAAAATATGTGCCTCGATGAGGTATCTGATACAGTATTCAGACTTGAAATGGAATCGTTGCTAAACATGGGACGGCACTTGTTTTGCAGTTTTGTTTCTCAAAAATAAATAATGAATTATCCTTGAAATAAACCAGTGTGCACCATATAGTATGTCCTTGGTGGTTTTTTTGAGCTATTAAGAAAGAAATTTGAGATTTATTTATTCTTATGTAGTGGTAGCACCACCTTCGACGAATGATGTTTGATGGGTGTTTGATTTAGAAATTGCTCGTGATATCACCGCTGCTGACTTTGTGAGCTGTTGCTTTTACTGCTGATGTTAAATCCTTGCAACAACTCTGTGATCATCTTCTTTGGCTGTAAAATCCTTACAGCTTGTGAAAAAAAAGCTCAGTTCACACAGGTTATACTTTTTGCGGTCAAACAAACACGCACCCACAGAGTGAATGAACGTCCCCCTCAGGTGCCACGGCTGTCGGACATCTTTCCACGGTAGGGAGCTGACTCGGAGAGGCCCGTCGTCACGGCTACACCAATGACATGGCTCGATGTGGGGGAGCTTTCTGGGTGGCGGCTCTCATTCAGCCAATCAAGGCAAACAGGCCACGCTCTATTTAATGATTATCCCAGCATCTGTCCCCTATCTCTCATCTCTGTGTGAAAGCCGGCAAACACAGGCTCAAATACACTCGCAGGAGCTCAGTGAATCCCATCCAGCCGAGCGGCTCGATTCTGGCTCTCATTGAGCAATTTCGTCTCAATTTAATCAAATCTGGATATGACGGGAAATGCTTATGTGCATTATGAGCAGGCTGTGCGCCCGTGATTCATTATATAGTTAGGGTAGAAGTGGTTAATAGTGGATGTGATTACAGCAGCAGCAATTAATGCCAGCCCAATAAAATACATGATTACCACATTTGGAATGTAATCTCAGTTGTTATCCGCATGCTGAAAAGACAGGCAATCCCAAGATAGCCTTTTAGCCTGTTTCCATTCTGTTTACTTTTACTTACAGCAACCAGAGAGTGCTGGTGATAAGGTTTACATTGTGCCACAGTCTTACTGCAGCTTGACAAGGTGTATTGATTTCATTTCCTGCATTTGTTTTATGTGGAGGATCCCATCGTCTTCTGCTCTTTTATCCCTTTGAGGCAGTTGGTTTTTGTATGGTCACCTGGATATTGTGAATCGCATTATTGGTTCCTTGGTGCTCAAACAGTGAAATCTGTCTGTAATGGATCACACGAGCGTTTATGAATATGCATTGGATGCTTTCCACCGCGTTCTATCTATCTCTTCTGCATTAAGATGCCGGTGATCGATAATCGCGCAGTTTTCCTCGGCCGTAAATCATGAGAACAGACGCCCTGCGGGCCTGGATGGAGAAAGAGACAGAAAACAAGAGATGCTGGGCCGACAAATGTAAATAGCAGAGAAGAGCAGGAGGCGCTAAATGATAGAAACTGAAGAGACACGTCGAGAAAAAGAAAGGCTTATAGTCTTGATTTATCAGCGCAGCAGCCCTTGAGATGAATGAGAAGCAGAAAGCTGTCTGTGGCCGCTTATTGCAGCCCTCAGGATGAATGCTCACCATTGCTCTGTTTGTTTTTGGTTGGGTAAAAACTGAAGTGTAACATCAATAAAAATGTTAATCAGAAAACCAAAAAACAAACAAAAAAAAAAAACATCTTCGCTTTCAATTTATGAGGCCACTTGATAGAAGAGAGAAAACAGTCTGGACATCAATCAGCAAAATCTATTTCTTTCTGTTGTGATCCATTTGTAAGTCATACCATGAATTTCACTCCACTGCACCTCCCACATTTGTGCCTTATATGCAGTGCAAAACAGTTTAGACCTGTACTCATTCGATATCATATTTTTGAAGGATTACCGCTGTGCAAGCTAAGTTCCTGTGCAGAGTTCGTCTGTTCTAGAAAGCCTGAAGTTTGAGCTGCTGTTGAGGCAACATAAAAATAGTCAGCTGTGATCTGCAGCACTACCTCATTATTTCACAGTTATTCTGTGTAAGACAGTAACAAATGACTGATTACTGAGCACGAGATTCAATTATTTGATAAGGTTGATTTTTTTTTTTTTTGATGAATACTGCCTGTTCATAACACCTAAATGATTGACTTTTTTTTTTTTTTCTTGTTTATTTTTTTTTACCTCCAGGTGAGACCGGTGCAGCCCTGTCACGCCCACAGCGCCCCCTTTCGGCCCGGACGGCCCACCACGCCCCGGCGCCTATGAAAGGGTACCATGTCAGCCGTAGCATGTCTCAGCACTCCTCCGGTGGTGGCGGAGGAGGCCCCTGCCACTGCATGCCTGAGGACTGCGACGGCCCGGGCAGAGAGTACTACCAGGGTCACAGCGATGGCCATTATTACCCTCCAGGAGGTCCAGCTGAGGCTCTGGCGCTGGAGAGGCACCACTCACACTCCCACTCGCATTCCCACAGCCACTCTGGAGGGGGCACCTTCCCTCGCTCCCACCCCAGCCAGCACCCACCTCTCCAGTCATTTGACTCTTGCGAAGAGTGCCTATCCTCGGGCCACGGAGGAAAGATGCACCGGATTCCCCCAAACCTGATGGATCAGTTTGAGAAGCAGGTGCCCTTCCACCCCGACGGCTTCCACACACTGCAGTACCAGCGCACAGCCAGCGGGGGTGCTGAGCAGCGCAGCGAGAGCCCATCCCGCATCCGTCACCTGGTCAACTCGGTGCAGCGCCTCTTCGCCAAGTCCCATTCCCTGGAGGCACCGTCCAAACGGGAGTACAACGGCACAAGGGGAGGCGGGGACTACCGTGGTGAGAGAGGGGGAGGCCACAGGAGTGGAGGGGAGGAGGGCCAATACTCAGGCCACCAGTCTCGCTCTACCAGGAGGAGCAAGTCTCGAGAGCGTAGCAAGAGTGGAGACTCTCGCCATGAGTCGGGCAGACGCCATCGCAGCAGGACGGCAGGCTGGTGGAGCTCTGATGACAACCTGGACAGCGACAGCAGCTTCCTTGTCAGCGGGGGTCGACGGGGGTATCCCAGTGGGCACGAGAGCCTGGATGCTGCTATTCAGGAGCTCACTATGAAGAAGCCCAAGGAGCGAGGCGGAGGGCCAGGATCTGGGGAGTGCGTGGCCTGTACCACAATGGCTCTGGCTGGGAGTGAGGGAGGAGGACACCATGGACATCATGGGCACCATGGACACCATGGTCATTCCCTGAAGAGGAGCACCTGGTCAGCCATGACAGTGAGTCAGGCCCGAGAGGTGTATCCTTCCACCAGGGGAGGAGGAGGCTATGACAAAGCCTTGGTGCCCATCGAGAGCAAGATGAAGGAGAGGACCTTCCACTACCTGCAGGTGTGTGTACGCCTGCATATCAACAAGTGTATACTGTGTGTCGTGTTTGTGAGCGTACAAAAGGAATATATAATGTAGGTGACTTTGCTTGCTGCTTGGTCCTGAGCTGCAGCAAAAAGCTATATTTCTGTAAATAAGGCACAAGACCTGGAATTTTTCCTGCACAGTCCTTCAATATAAGGACAATGTACGTTAGTTTACGAAGAAACCACATTTTGCTGTGTTTTCACAAAGTCTCATGCAGTTTATTCCTTAGGTTTAGCTTACGTATTTTTTGCCAAGAAGTTTACATCTTCTTGGATTGTAAACTCAGTAAAATTGAAGTGCGTGTTATTTTTTTAAGAGCTAGTGTGGTTCCATTTTCCAGTCAGCATATCTGTATACACATTTAGAAATGTGTTTAAATAATCTGTCTCACATTTTAGACTAATTTCCCTCTTAAAATTAGTATTGGTTGTGATGATTGTCTGTACATCTGTGGCCCTGTTCACACCGGGCATTGACATGCGTGTTTTGCATTTGAAAGACAAGTGGATAGTTCTGAGTACAGGTATGAATGAACCCGAGATGCATTCACATTCTGAGGTGTTCTGGCATTCTGCATGTGGCCATATTCTCCTATTTTTACATTCTGCATTTGTGTACTTAATCATGGGCCAACCATGTTCTTGTGTTTCAAGTACATGGGCCTGACACAGCAATCATAACGGCCGGGGAAGTCTGATACCTTGTTGTTGCTAGAGCACCTACTCTTTTTGCATTCTTTATTTGGATTGGAAATTAAGTAACATTGGTTCAGCATGTCAGTGAGATGTCTGTACATGTAAAGCAGAATACCCTCCACAATAAGGAGTCTTCTCCTCTTTGTGGTCAGACTACAGGATATTCTCGATATCCAGGGTGTTATTAACTCCAAGAGACTTCTCAAACTTCACTGGGTATCCAGAAACGTATAGATCGTACGTATCTTGGCATCCATGTCCAGAGCAGTAAAGACACTGACCTGCTTAAAGACATGTTGACCAACTTCAATCTGATCCTGGGGCTTGAAGAAGTCATCTTTGTGACTACAAATAATAGCGCATTTGGTTGTAGCAAACTGAAATGATGTACATGTTTTGGGTTTTTTTTTGCAATTGAAGCTGGAAAATGAGATCTGATCACAATGAATGTACTTTGAACTTGTCAACAATGATCAGATCACCAAAGACATGTGCTAACACCAGGCTTGAACAGGGCCTATTATCAGTCCATGTGAGCTCTTACCAGGTAATTCCGTATAACTTCATACAGATTTGCCAAAAAGAAACACAAACCATAAAAAGCTCAAGTGTAGACAGCAGCTAACTCACTAATTTGAGTTGCGTTTTCACCAAAGTCCCTCAAATTTTTAATATCGGAAACGAAAATCTGGGAACCTTTTAAGGAACTAAAGTTTCCTTCAGCCATTTGTTTTAACTTAAAGACAGATTCATCAGTTAATCAATCTGTGGTTCTACCACAATCAGAAGCCCTGCAAAAATTAGGCAATTAATCTTTTTTGCAAGAGACTAAGCAAAATCAATGACAGCTTTCACAAAATCTCTTGGACTTTCTTGTGTTGTTTTACAGAAGAAAAGTGTAGAAAAGGTTAGTGCAACTGACCAATTCGTGATGATTAAGAAGTGAAAGCACCACCCTAAAGTTCATGAACTTTTAGAAAGTTTTTGACTTGTTGGCTGGTTCCACACAGGTAGAGGTACCAACAGAACTCCTCAACAGCTTCCTGTTCCTGTCGTGGAAACACACTTTTTATGGCAACATTCCACTTTGGCTGCCTTCCAAATTGCAAACTTTTTCTTCTTACTTTGATCCCATACTTACAGCTGCCTTTACAAAGTTCGTACTGTTTCTTGCACTACATATACGATTGGGACATACTACTTGCAACATAAATTGCGCCTCAAATTTTGACTGTGACAGTCCGTTGTTGCAAGTGATCTGCCATCTGTCTGTGAGTTCTCGGTGGCTTAAGCTTGTTTATACTCACCCAAGACACCGTGACTTATGTAATGTAACTGTGCAGAGGATTGTGGGTCAGAATGGGTTGCACACTGCAAAATGCCATATGTGAGTATTTTTGGCACGCTACATTTGATAGACTATGCACTGGGACACACTACATCTTTTTCTGGTATATTATATAGTGTGGTAGTATGGATATTGGAATGCATCCTTCCTTTTATGTGTAAAGCATGATGGGAACTGTAGTGCCAAAAACATGTTGATCATATTTAACAGCATCAATGCACCCACACTCCTTTATCAGTTTATACTCAGGTATTTACTGTGTGGGTAACATCTTAACACATACAGACAACTGTTTTCAATTGCATAAAACGTGACATGAAATGTGAAAAGTGAGCAGCGCAGAGTTCAGAGAGTTAAATATCCACCTGGAGGAGCAGATGGACTGTCTTGGTATTTAGCTGTGAGTCAGAAAACAATGCTCGTCACCCACGCATTATTTATGCATCTCTTCCAACAGTCCCGCTTCCAGTCACCACACTCTATCTTGAATCCCACACACGCAGTTTTCCCAAAGCCCATTCACTCATTTTGTGTAAATGGATCTCGTAGATTGCAAAAAAAAAAAAAGCTAATGGCTGTTACAGTAGGCAGCTGAGAGAGCCACACACACACACACAAACATGCACAAACAAACTTCCAGCTGTGTTGAGGTAGAGCTGCCGTGCAGGCTGTGTTTCTACGGAAACAGCAGGTAGCCACAGGAGTCCCTGGTGTTTTTCCAACTCTCATCCTTTAGACACAGCTGAGGTCTGCTGATAGAGGAGACAGAGAGAATGGGGTCGTGTGTGTTAGTGCTTCCAAAAGACAAACCCCACACAATTTGTCTCCACGCTTTGGGCTACCACCGCATTCACACCCCCGGACACGAAATGAACTTTCCTGCTGCAGCTTTTCTTCTATCTCCAGGTGTCACGAGCAGTTTCGGGAGGAGCAGGGAGACGGTGTGTTTAGAGAATGTGGTGCTGCGCTTAGATGTGCTGAGACAGCTAAATTGATTCATGGCTTCAGAGCAGGCAGCTCTCTGCAGCTGCAGATATAGAGGTGTGTTGAGGTCGGCCCCACCTGGACGAGACCTCAGGACAGCCGGGAGACTGAAGCAACACTTCCAAACTGAAACCTTGACACACAGACGTTATGCAATCCACAACTGAGTTAGGACATGATTAGCTGCATGTGAACTATGTTATTTGCAGGGAGAATTTGACAAGGAATTAACACCCGACTCTGAGTTTTATTGCATCTTTTAGTTCATTTTTGGCAGCAGGTTCCCTTCTTCAACAAAATAAGCTCTGAAAAGTCAAATGCACATTACCTGCCACCAAGGAGTTAGAAACTAGCTGTTGAGCACATTTAATGGAGCCGAACAGTCAGATATTCTCCACTAGAAGTTAGTTTGGTCAAAAACAACAGTCAGCAAAAAAAAGAGAGGAAAAAGTGTGCTGACTCACTCAGGTTCAGAGACACATCAGATGCTAAGCTGGCTTTATAACTGATGGATTTGTACAATAGTTAACAATCTGCCACATCAGGTTAAAACATAATGTGTTAGTTGTGTGAACAGTGTGTATTTACCTTCTATAAAAAATGATCAAAAACTTGAACGGTTGCATTTCATTGTCCCACACCTACCAGAAAGGTTATGACAGCAGAACACAGTAAAGCACAAACAAAAGACGACATTGAGGAGAATATTTGCTTACACTTATAATTTGTACTGCTCACACTGTTAGTGTTTATCCATTCAACAGCAGGAGTCTTTATTAATGCACAATTTAACAAAAAAAGCTATATAAAGTAGCTTTAGTCACAAGGTGGTTTTGTAGCACATGGAAATGCAGAGCATGTAGCACACATTTACCACAAACTAGTACAAGCTTACTAAAACTCCTCCCTGCCTAGTTTACTCTTATCTGCTTTGGGTTATTTCAATTCAAAGAGATCTTTCGGAAGCAAAGAACAAAATGAGTTGCAGAAATGTGCTACATTCAAGTATTTGTAGGCTATGGAGCGACATCACTGAGGAGAGCTCCAGATGGCGGATAAAGTTAACAGACAACTGATGGAGACTGTTTAAGACGCTCTGAATGAGTTGGAAAAGAAGACGAGTAGGGATACATGATGACCGGTGTGAGATGGAGAGTGAAAGAATTACAATAAATTTAAAGAAAGGGTTCTTGGGGCCGACATGCTTGGAAAACATGGGCAGATAGATGACAGGACAAGAGCTGATACTGAGAATAAAGAGATTCTGACAGCACTGGAAAACAGAAGTAATGAAGAGAATAGAACAGCGGGAGTAGCTCGTATTCACCCAGAGGAATAGAGACATGTATAATCTAGGAAAACAGTATTAGATCAAGACTTGATATCAGCAGATACTAAATATTAAATGACTCAAATGGGATCAACGGGCAAAAAAACTCAATAGGGACATCTACTCATAAGCTTTATGTGTAACATGTAAATACAGGTTTATACTGACAAATCCACACTGGGAGGTTACTCAAGTTTACTGCAAAAAAGCACAACAGGATAAACAAAAATGAGTGAATTTTCAAAAGTCTGAGGCCTTGTCCACATGTACACAAGCTGTGTTTTAACAAAACACAGCTTTTTCTGTGCGTTTTGGCCTTTTGTCCACACACAAATGCAGTTTTAAGGTACTGAAAATTAACATTTTTGGAAAGGCAATCAAGCACATCTGTGTCTTTAAATGCTCGTGTGATATGTGTTTTTTTAGGTACATTGGCGTGGATGGATGTTATTTCTGAAATAGTTGTAAAATGTTGGTGTAGACGGCGATTTTAAAACACACTGGTGTAGATGTTGCCTGAGCTACAGTGGTCGGAGGCAAAGGAACATGTTTGAGGCTTCTTCCTATGGTGTCCACGCCAATCACGATGTGCAGCATCCGGACCTCTCCCGTTCCCTAAGCCTCTCTCCTCCCTTCGGCCTGTGTGTGATA